AGCCGGGGCACGGCGTGCTGTCCCTGCCATGGCCGCATCGCCCACTGGGTCCGTGGTGAGCGCCGGGCTGGAGGACGGCTCCTCGGGTAAGACGCGGTGTGCCCACGGTGCCCACGGTGCCCCTGCCGCGGCCCTGCGCTGCGAGGTGCCTCAGGATGCCTGGTGGCCCCATCCGTGGTGCTTCTCCAGGATGCCCGTGACCCCCAGCCACAGCGCTCCTCCAGGATGCCCATAGTCTCCGGCCATGGTGTTTCTCCAGGAAGCCTGGGGTCCCCAGCCATGAGACTTCTCTGGGATGCCCACAGTCGCGGGCATGGCACCTCACCAGGATGCCCCATCCCTGGCCGTAGCAGTTCTCCAGGGTGCCGGTGGGCTCTAGCTGGGATACCTGCCATGGCCATAGTCCATGTCAGGACACCCTGCATGCAGAGCCCTGTCAGGGTGACTGTGATCCCCAATCGCGGCCCCTTGCTGGGACACCAGGGGCCCTGGCCATGGGACCAGGATACCTGTGCTCCCCGTGCACGGCCCTTCCCCAGGGCAGTCCCCAGCTGCAACCCTCCCGGACACCACGGTCCCAGCTCCTTCTCCAGGACACCCAGGCAGCAGCAGGGATGCGCCCAGGGCACCCGCAGGGTCTTGCCGGTCACCTGAAGCACCGGGAGACACGGAGGTGGCCGGGTGATCCCATGGCTGTGAGCAGGATGCCGGCACGGTCCTGGGGGATCGGAGAGACCCCGAGCGTCACCGCTCCACTCCCACAGGGCTGAGCCCGGCCCCCGGCAAGGCGCTGAGCCCCGTGCTGCTGTGCAAGGTGTGCGGGGACACGAGCAGCGGGAAGCACTACGGCATCTACGCCTGCAACGGCTGCAGCGGCTTCTTCAAGCGCAGCGTGCGGAGGAAACTCATCTACAGGTGGGGGCCGGCGGGCAGCGCTTGGGGTGGGGACGCCGGGGGACAGGGCACCCCGGGGAGCACGGGGTGCCTGGGGGATACGGGGTTTGGGGGCCAAGGCAGCGATGCAGGGAGAGGGCACCCAATTGGGTAGGAGACTCCATGGGGCAGAGCAGTCACTGGGGCATGGGGTGCCCTGGGGGGACAGGGAACCTAGGAGAGGGCACCTAAGGGGGGACAGGGCATGCCTGGGAGTCAGGGCACCCACAGGGGACAGGCACCCAGTGTGGGGACAGGATGTTATCAGGGCAAGGCAGTTGTTGGGGCAGGATGCTGATGGGGGCGGGGAGGACACCCACTGGGACAGAGCACCCTTGGGGGACAGGACACCCGTAGGGGGCAGGGCACCCATCAGAGCAGGGCACCCAGAGGGGACACAGCACCCAACCATGAGACCGGTTGCCCATTGGGGCACCCATGGGAAGGAGAGGACACACCTGGAGGGAGGGCACCTGGGGGGACAGGGCATCCACGGGGCAGAGCGGGTGCCACCTCTGCTCCTGCAGGTGCCAGGCGGGGACGGGGCTGTGCCCCGTGGACAAGGCGCACCGTAACCAGTGCCAGGCCTGCCGGCTGAAGAAGTGCCTGCAAGCGGGCATGAACAAGGATGGTGAGCGTGGGGCGGTGGGTGGCGGCAGCGGCGTCAGGGCCGCGTGGGGCTCACGGCGTCCCCGTGCCACGCAGCCGTGCAGAACGAGCGGCAGCCCCGCCGCACCGCCCCAGGGCGCCCGG